CCAAGGCGCCGGCTGCCATGATTGCGGGCAGCACCGGGACGCGCGCGCACGCTGGGGCCGAGTGGGACCCTCGGCGGTCAGCAGTCTCTTCTGCCTGCCTGCAGTCCAGTGCGCGCTAAGGACAACCGTCAGGGTCGCCGAGATCTAGATTGGGTACTGAGACAGCGTGGTGGGCCGGACAGTGGCAGTGGCTTCTCAAAGGAAGGGGCGCGCGCAGGGCGACCCCGCCAGTCCAACAGAGCAAGGAGCGCGGTGCCCAGCGGGTAGCGGCAGAAAGGGCACACTGAACCTCGCGAGTGGGTGTGGGGAGTAATGCACAGAACTGAGCATGCAAAGGGGACGCGCAAGGTGCCTGGGGAGGCATCGGAGGCTTGGGATTCGCGCAGGCATGGTGCCCAGTGCCCGTGCCCAGCTCTAGGCTTGCCCCCTTCTCGCTGGAAACAACTTCCTGCTACTAGGACTAGGGCACGGGAGCTGCGGGGTAGTTCAAGGCCATTGCTTTGCTCTCAGCACAACTGCGATACTGCTGGCTCTAGGCCACACCGGGCCCCTACAAGGGGGAAAGGGACGGCTGGGCTCCAAGGCCTGGTTACTGGTTAGAATGCCAAGGAGGCCGCAGCGTCTTCCAGATCGCTTCACTGGCGCGCCCAAGCGTTTTCCAAACAGAGGCCGGCCTGGGCCTCAGGCTCTCAGAGACACATGTGAACACAGGGTCCCTAGACTAAGATTCCCTCCTCCTGTCCAGACATGCTCTGGATCACAGCCACTTGGACCTGCCTGGTTCTGGAGGTGCATGATAGCCAGTTGACGACCAGGGCCAGGGAGAACAAGGCCTCCAGGGCCCATCCCACAGTCTCTGTGCCTGTCTCCCTCCTCCCCCTCCCCACTGGCCTTGGCATTCTAACCAGTATCCTTTGACGTCATATCTCGCCATTTCTGTCAACCAATTGAAACTTGCCCGTTGTAATAAAAAATATAATTTTTTTATATCATTGGTAAATTCAAAAATTCCTTGTGTGTCCCGCTTCCCAGGAAACTTCATTCCACGTTGTACTGGACTGCCAGGAGGGAGGTCCTGGACACACTGGGTAAAGCTGGCCCGAGTTGGCCAGTTCTGCCAGAGCCTTTAACTACCAGTGACTTGCTTTTAAGTTCTGTAGACCACCATGACCCTGACCTAGGCTAGTGCCACAGCCACATCAGTGCAGGCAACCCCACAACATACAGTTTAGGGAAAGGAAAAAATCCAGGACACGTCCTGTCCTGATCAACTTTCATTTTCTACAACTGCCAGTAACTGAAGATAGACAACCACGAACAGTGAGTTTCACTCTTCCTGGGGAAGAGGCATTGTGGCCCCAGCTCCCAGGGCCAGGGTCCCAGGGCCAGAATGGCAGGGGCCCTATTGCTCTCTACCCATGTGGCAATACTGAGTTCCAGCCACAGGGCAGGTGAAACCTAACTTTTCTGACACTTAAAATTCTCCTTACTATCAAAGTTCTCAGTCTTGATCAAGAAGGGTGGAGCAGGGTGACCCTATGCTGGGCAGTCCCCTACCTCCACATTAGTCCCTAGGAAGCCCCTCCTACAACAGCCAGAACAGGACAAGGAGGACAACCTCAACCATAAGGTTTCACTTCAGCATCTATTGCTGTAATGGTTCAGAAAACACTAAAGACATTTTGTGGTCTAGCAAGTTTCGGGGCTATAGAAGGACAGAAACTCTAGGACTGGGCTGGCCACAGAGACCCTGGCATTCTAAACACCAGGCCCTTCTAAATGCCGAATCTTCTTTTTCCAAAATAATGAGCAAGCTCAGTAACGGCCAAACGGGGACTCTGAACACAAATATTCCGTGCTTACTTCCACATAAGAGTGCTCTCAAGTGCGAGTTCTAAAATGGCTGCACACCTCTGAGACACGCTCGTGAGAGAGAGAAAAAACTGCATCCAACCACAACACTATAATCTATTTCTAATCACGCTCCTAAACACTATAAATATTATAAGTAATGTGATATATGTTTTGTGATTAAATGGGTGGATTAAAACACTGAATTTTTTAAAAGCCACAAAGAAAAGGAGATTATCTTCCATTATGCCGCTTACAAGTTTTGTCCCACTGGCACAAATACAAATTTGACAAGTGTATCATTATGGAGCACGACAATTAAATGCGAGGATATTAGCTTTGTAATTTTCACCTGAAATCATTGTGTAATCACGCTGGATTGCTAGCCTTTTTATTAGCTGACTTTCCCCCTTACCTTCACATTGTAATAAATTAATGTCTTCTAACCCCTTCCCAATTTTTATTTAGTAATGTAAGAAATTGGGTGAGTCGGAACAATAGTCAAGAACACATACTTTTTAAAAAATTCTCCCTGTACTTGGCAAGGATTTATATGTAATTTGGTTGCAAATTCAGAAATCAAATTCTGCCTAATTTAGGGGAAATAATGGCCTTTAGGTAATTCTATTGGGCATTATTCGGTTTGGCTAGCTTTGGTTTTTTGTTGTTGTTGTTGTTGTTTGTTGCGTGTATTTTGTTTTTAATTTTTTTATCTACTTGCTATCAAATTATATTATTCAAAGTAAGAAAAATTAAACTATACTCAAATGCTCAAAAAGGAAACCTGAAAAAAAATTTAAATTGTTGGTGAGCATTTGCTAGACAAGTTTGTGCTAAGAAACCCTTGGCTGTCCCTCTGGACCACAGCCATGCCTGGGGTCAGCTGTCTGAAAAGAAGTCCTAGGAAGCCTGTCCCTGGACCAGGATGTTTATAATATTGGCCTTATATAGTTATTTTTTCCTGATTTCTCCCAAGATCTGCTTGATGGGAATTCAGCCAGCAACTTCCTGCAATGCCCTTTCTTGAGTCCTGGTTTTCTCTGCTCAGCCTCTGGCCCACAGTGCAGCCTCAGAGAGCCGTGGGGCTCTACTTTCGATTCGCTTCTCTCCACAAAGACATGTTTAATGGTGTTAAATTTTCAGTATCCAGGGCATTATGAGGACTTAGTAAACAGATGCACTTAATCTAGTTAAAACAAGATGAGTGTGAGGGGGGAAATCAGATTTTCACTCGGGTTCTGATCGTTCAACTCGTATGTCCAAGAATAATGGTGTTTAGAAAGCTGGCCCGGGAGCCCTGGCAGTGCGAGTCTGCAGCCGCTCCTGGCTAAGATGCCACTTCAATCATTGCTGACAATGTGCCCTTCAGAGGAGCTGCGAGCCAGCTTTGAGTATTCTGTGAAAAGGCAAACCAGGCTTAGGATTTCTTTCTTTCTTTTTTTTCTTTCGTCTTTGTCTTGAAGTAGAGTGCAGGTTTGAGAGCCCATTTTCCTACGCCTATATCATACGAACTTGTGCTTCTATCTGGGGAAGGCGACCTTCCTACTCGATTACTTATGCACAAAACCTAACAGCACCCGTGTCCCTTGAGTGCCCATTATATATCGATATGTCTCTATGTCGATTATGAAGGAAACTGAGAAAGGAAAGAAGCTCACTGACTCGCATACAGATAAAAAAAAAACAGTGAAAGAAAATTCCGAGCCGTTAGACCGAAGGCAAGCAAGCGACCAGAGAAAGGATTCCTTCCCTCCAGACATAATGAAGCCATTTGCAGAATCTTTTGCTTGGGTTCCCTCCGTTTTACGTCCAACTTGGCATTCGTTTGTTAGCAACAGCAATGAAATGCTGGCTGTAGCCTAAGTCTGTGTGAGGACAAAAGCGGATGCGGAGCACTGCAGGACAGCCACCACCACCTCCACCAAGGCAGCCTGCTGATCCCCTCACTGCATCCTCTTCCCAGTCCTCTTGCTTTTTAATATAAAGACCACACTTAAGTGTGCCTGCAGCTGACGGTGACGAGGCTCTCCACTCCCATAGCTGGTGGGCGCTTAACTCTATAGCCGTGCAGTCAGTTGTGCTTAGAGAGCCTCTCCGAGCCACAGTGGAGCATCTTCAATGCACTTTAGAAGCTGGCCCGTTCTCTTTTTCAGTTACCGTGTACTGTCACCAAAGAATGTAACCCACCCCAAACACGTCTTTACGTGGGTATTATCTCTCAAATAGAAGGGGAGCCCAACACCTGGGGATCTGTGATGAATGTGTTTGGTCATAAATACATGATTTTTATCTATAATATATGCATACTAGGATGAAGATTTTGCCTTGATTCAAATGATAGATTATAATTGCTGTTTTTCAACCCAAAGTAGCGGCAAGAAAAATTAAAAAAGTATGAACTAGGATAAAGGAGAATTATCAATGCCATGGCTAGATTCTTGGCTTTATATGTGGAATAAGAATAAGCACGGCTAAAGGTAAAAAAAAAATTAATAAAAATTACCTTTCAAAGGGAAGCGAGTGCGGAGTTAATTTTAGTTGCTCAATTCTACAATTTCTAAAATGGAGCCATCATAAACTGGGAAGCTAACATTCTTCTAAAGAATTTACTGTGCTCCTCACAGGATTTTATCAGCAATTTAAGATGTATTAGAATTGGTAATTTTACAGATTCTGGTAGG